TTTCTTCAAATCTATCTATGCTGCAATCACTAGTTTCTTTTCTTGGATGGCATCTTCAATTTCTTGAGAGGGGTAAGTTGTCTGGTCTTCTGTAGAGTAGTATTGTCTAAAGCCTGCCTGCTGCGGCGTGAAGATGTTTTCACTTTCCATGTACCATTGAAGTCTAAGATTAACAATGCGTTCCATTGTTTTGCAGAGACAGCTGGTAAGACTGACTGGTCTATACCTGGAGGTATTGGTACTGTCTTTTCCTGGTTTTAGGAGAGATATGGTTGCTTCTCTCCATATCTGTGGAACTTTGCCACTGGCCCAACAATTATTAAAAATATGCAACAGTTTTGTTTTGGCTGTTGTCCCTAGGTTCTTGATTATTTCGTTGGTTTTCTATCAATTCCAGGCGAGTTTCCAATTTTCAGCTAACAATAATTTGTTAAAGTTTAGTGGTGCTTCCATTACCACGGGAATTATATCGCTGTGTCTTGAGTGTTGTCGTTTCTCTCGAACCTATCGCTGTTTCGGTGGACTGACATCAATGTTGCTGTCTTCAGCAAATAAATCTGCTAAGTGATCAGCCGTCTGTTTTTATTATAATGGCGGCTTCTGAATATATTGTAGTATTTGCCTTTCTCCCCGAACTCTCGTCATTTGTTTGTTTTACCAGCCTCCACATCTTCCTTCTGTCTCTTTCAAAGTTTAGAGACTTTTTTCTTGCCAACATGCCCTTCTAGCCTGCAGCTTGGCTCTTTGAAATTTGGCCTTTGCATGTTGGTATTTGTTGAACAGCTCCTGACAAGGTCTAATCTTAGCTTTCTTTCAGTTTCCATGTCCTTGTGTAATTGTTCTAGGCCACAATTTCAGTATGGTTTATTTTGCTTACGTGCGCCTCTTGATATTGTTTCCAGGGCTGCCTGCAATATACATTTGCTGAACTCTTCTACTACTTTATCTGCACTGTTTTCTTTAACTTTTAACAAGAATACTTGTAAGGTGTCAGTACAATTTCCAGTCTGCCTTCTTGTAATTCCATAATCTAAACAAGAAGAGTTTCAAAAGGGGGTTTTAGAAGAAAGATGAAAATATCTTACTTTCTTTATTGGAAAATGTCACAAGTGTTTCTGTAATGACTTTTCATATTTCTGTATCATTGTACTGATTTGGGATGTGGTTCAAAACGTCAGCAGTTAGTGAGAATCACACCACAAGAAACACGTCCGGTTCCCACAATACATGCTGAGTTATTTATTTTTGTGCTGCATAATCATGGGAATGTGATTGTGAAAAACTGCTGTTAATAGACAGACAAGTATTTCAAATGATCACACAAAAGAAGCAGACAGACAAATATTTCAACATGGTCACACAAAAGAAGCAGACAACAAATATTTCAACATGATCACACAATAGAAGCAGACAGACACATATTTCAACATGATCACACAAAAGAAGCAGACAGACTTTGGATTGTCTGTGTGTTCTGGGAAGCTGTGGTAGACAATTTCAATTTTGCATAAGCAAATCTGTTATTAACTGGCAACCTTGTCTATTCTCATTCTGCAATTTCAACAATAAAAAGAAGCAAACAAACAGTGTAATGTCTTCAGACTTTTATTGTCTGGCAAAACCGCCATCTGGGTACATCACATAACTTTTAACAAGAATACTTGTAAGGTGTCAGTACAATTTCCAGTCTGCCTTCTTGTAATTCCATAATCTAAACAAGAAGAGTTTCAAAAGGGGGTTTTAGAAGAAAGATGAAAATATCTTACTTTCTTTATTGGAAAATGTCACAAGTGTTTCTGTAATGACTTTTCATATTTCTGTATCATTGTACTGATTTGGGATGTGGTTCAAAACGTCAGCAGTTAGTGAGAATCACACCACAAGAAACACGTCCGGTTCCCACAATACATGCTGAGTTATTTATTTTTGTGCTGCATAATCATGGGAATGTGATTGTGAAAAACTGCTGTTAATAGACAGACAAGTATTTCAAATGATCACACAAAAGAAGCAGACAGACAAATATTTCAACATGGTCACACAAAAGAAGCAGACAACAAATATTTCAACATGATCACACAATAGAAGCAGACAGACACATATTTCAACATGATCACACAAAAGAAGCAGACAGACTTTGGATTGTCTGTGTGTTCTGGGAAGCTGTGGTAGACAATTTCAATTTTGCATAAGCAAATCTGTTATTAACTGGCAACCTTGTCTATTCTCATTCTGCAATTTCAACAATAAAAAGAAGCAAACAAACAGTGTAATGTCTTCAGACTTTTATTGTCTGGCAAAACCGCCATCTGGGTACATCACTGCTGTGCACTGTATCAATGATGGAATACACTGTATCAATGATGGAATACACTGAACACATTCTAAGGAATGCTCTAGTTTAATGCTTAAAAAAGACATGAGAAAAAAAACCGCTTGACATTAACCAACTGTTTTTACAGAACTGTTGATGTATTTTTTTCAAATGTAAAGACTCATTGACAGGCCACTATGGCATACCACAGGTTAGGTTTATACTAGACCTAGATTTTTAACATCAAACAGCGCCTGATATTGTCAATACCTTTTAGAAACTTGCCAGATACACAGTGAGAAGGTGAGTCTATTGCACAGCCATCTATTCATACAACACATGCCATAGATGGAAACAGTGCAGGTCCACTTGACCTATAGGTCAAGTCATTAGACAACTTTGCCTCATCTCATACATAGAAACAATTGTTACATATTCTAGGGTAACATAATGGTAAATGAGCATATTATATGTGAACATACGTTGCTGAACAAGTTAAGTAAACAAATGTTTACTATTCAAGTCACTGGTGTTTCGCAATGTCCCCAAACACACTCATTCAAATGAACTTCATATTTGTCAGATTTTCTATTGTACAAGATAATACAAATGTGCTATAAGAACAGAATTACAAACATTAAAGAACTGTTCATCATGTCATGTTCTGCCAAATAAAACAACAAAATATTTAATATAAATTTTAATAATGCAATTGAGAAAGTAAATGGAACTGTTGGATGAAAACAATATTCAGTGATTTTCCAAAGCTTGAACTCACGTGTGCAATACAGACTGAAGCCAACCAGACAACTGGACAGTTTGTGACCTAACAGTATCTTTCTACCGCCAAGTTACCATGCATATCTGCACAGGCAAGTAGAAAGCTGATGTTTATGTGTTTACTGACACTAGTCTGAGCCTCGGAGCCAATAAACAATTTTACGTGGCCGGCGCAAAATAAAATGTGGAGGTGCCATCCACAGATAAAAATAACACGATAGAGACATTTATTAAACAGTGATTACAGACACATTTCAATATGTCAACAGTTTGAGCAGCGGCTGTGGCAGGTTACAATAAACACCAAGTATTCTATGTAGTGTTGTAGTCAGTACTCTCTAGAACACAACAGAAGGAGGAACATGGATAGACTGGATATGTGACTGACAAACTAGTTCTAGCACTGTGTGTGTGTCAAGTTTCTTATTGCAATGAACAATTTAACAATGTTTAAGTCCTAATTTCATCTTCTGGTAGCAACTGACAAATATGAACATGAATGCAATAATTAAAGAAGACTTAAACTCAAATATTACATAAACGTTCTGAGAATACTGTTGATCAAGAATAGGAGAAATACTGCCATTTGACAGGATCTGAACAATGAAGACAACTGGCTCATGCGCAGAAAGTGACATTTTTTTAAAAACACGAAACGTGTTTAGAAAGAATATTATGACAGGGTATCATTGTTGAAGGAACACACTAGACAGGGGTCAACCACAGGACAATACAGACAACTTGGGCATGAAAGTGCTTGAGGTAGAAGCACTGGCAGAGTGGGCAGTTTCATGCTGCAAAAAGCTGCTACATGGTGATCATCATCTTTTTTGGTTCACCGGTTGTAAGTTCTAGTGCACACCCATTTTATTGCTGGGTGTTCCTTGCCTCTCATGCAGATGTACTCCCACTTCGAAGGAAGCCCCCCCCCCCCCCCCCCCCCCTGTCTACTCCTACAACATATTTTTGGGGAGGTAGTGGGTGTATTCTTGTTTCTTCCACACTAAGGCCCCGGAACCCACAGGGGAAAATAGTGATCTTGATGGGGTGAATTACATTTGTTTAATGCCAACCTGAAATATAAAAATTTTCATGACAACCCTTGAGCCTATCTCATGAGCAAACTGTCATGGACAATGCCAGATGCGAGAAAATTTGTTTAGGAAAACAGACTTAACAACACATGTAAATGGTCCCATAATTCTAAATGACAATCATGACATGCCTTACAGATACAAATGTGTCGTAATAAACTACAGTAAAGATTGCTATGAAATATATTTATCTCCTGTAGGATTTTTACATCATTGGAGTCTTCCACTAGCTACAGCAATCTAGCAAATGCAACAGCAACAATGATAATCTCTAGTGAATAGCATAAATGAGAAATCAAGTGTTTCAGAAATACAACATACTCCAAGTTAAGGTAAATGATAAATACTTCCCAAACTTATATTTCTTGTGCTAAAGCAACTTCTAACACCACCACTTTTACATATGAACACTGTTAATTGAATGAACAAAGAAACAAAATGAACATTAGGAGACAGACAATGTCCTAAACATAAGCACTTCAGTGTTAATGATCTCTGACAGAGAATGAACATTCAGCTGGCATATGTTGGTACCTAAAATGTCAAATGTGCAAGAGCAAAACGCATGCAACTAATATGTCCAGTAAATCAATGGAAACATTGTGAAGTTATGAACATGTAAACTGGTAGCAATTATGTTTATACAAGGCAGTCGCCTCAGTGCACAAACATTGCCAATCAGCATTAAAACCTGAGCCTTATTTGTGCCAAAAGACTTTTACTTATTTGAATCAAGGAGATAAACAAGCAAACAAATAAAATATTCATAAAAAGTAAGAAAAAAAAAAAAAAAAACAGCCTCAAGTCAAATGCTATGACGCTTCCTCCTTCACTGTAAGATTGCTGCTGGGTCCAGTGCTCAAGTCACCAGAATTTGTTGTGAAAATAATTTCTTGCATTCCCACAATTTCACTGCACTGGTTTTCCTCTTTTTGTGGTGTTTCCTCCTCTTCTTGTGGTGTTTCCTCCTCTTTTGTTTCCTTTTGTGGTGTTTTCTCCTCTTCAGCTGCAACCTCACAATTGGCACCACTGTTCTGGGGAACGCACACTGTATATGCACCAACTGCTCCTGCAGTGCCACCAACATCAGGAGAGCCCTCAGTACTTCTAGTATTTTCTTCAGAATCCTGGCGTGGAGTGTGACCAAACCATTCCATGTTGTCAATATCCAGCCACTCAATAGTGGTTAAAAACTTCTTCCCACTGAAGCCACCAACAGCATACAGACGTCTGCCGATGGTGACAACACTCATATTGGCTCTTGGTGTGTTCAGGGATGGACCCACCGTCCAAGTGTTGCTCTCAAAGTCGTACAGCTCCGTCGACATCAGAGACTGTGCTCCGTCACTGCCTCCAACAACAATAATTATGCCTGTAAAAATAAAATATCATTTTGATGAGCCAGGTCAAGTGATTCTCTGACAACAAATGGCACAAGGTAAAACACAAAAACTATTGGATCAATGACAGCAATTAGAAACAAGGGAGGCGAACTGACTCTGATTCTGACTATACACAATAAGGACAATACAAATGTTTTTCAATTCAACCAGTTCTATAATCTCCAGATTTAGGAATTGCTCATGACAAGACTGCCTATGTTTAAATAGGTCAATAGCTAATTTCTGAAATATATATATATTACATGCATAAAACAATCAACTAGCATTCAATGTAAACTTCTTCTTCTGCCTTTCTATCCCCCAATGGAGCATAGGCCCTCAACCAACTCACGCCAAGTCGTTAATGTAAACTAAGTATAATAAAACTGCGGTCTCAATAACAACATGAAAATTGCCATGAAAAACAAAATACCGCCCAAATGTATTTTTTTTTAACATTCACTAAAACAGGTGGGCAAATTCAAATAACTTAAAAATAACTTTATATAAGATAGCAGTCCAGAATTAAACAGTCTTACCTGTCAACTTTCCCCAATACTGAAACACCCAGCAATACCAATGAAAACAAAAGACATATTATAAATGCACAATAACAAGCGTGGAAACCAATGAAGTGTTCAATGAGATGTTTGAGAAAAGCAGTCACCATTACAAGAAGAGACAATACAAGAAACAAGGATATCATTAGAATTGTGTAAGCAACACCTGTAAAAAAAGGTTATTGACAACAACAAAAAAAAAAAAAAAGAAGAAGAAGGAAATGGTTTGGCCATCTGGTCAGAATGAACCCAGCAGCATCAATGCAAGAGCATACAGCATGAGAATGGAAACATCAAGATGCAGAGGAAAGCCAAGAAGAAATGAATAGATGGAGTTAGCAACTTGCTGAAATACAACAATATTACCAAGCAGCAAGCTAACGAGCGTGCATTATCCTGAAAAACCGATCATCAGCAGTGCTTGCGACACCTAACAGCTTTGCGCAGAGAAGGACAAGAGACAGAAGTATAAAAAGAATCCAGCATGTATTTTTTTAAAACAAACATCGATGAACTGTGGCTTATTCAACACTGAAACTTACCATCAACGATTCCCACTCCGGCACCTCTGCGGGCGATGTTCAGGTATGATCCAATCAGCCATTCATCCTTCTCTGGGTTATAGACCTCCACAGTGTTCAGTGTGTTCCAGAGGTCTGTGCCTCCTATGGCAAACAGTAACCCATTGATAGCACACACGCAGGTCTGAGACCGAGCTGAAAACAACAAAAACAGTAACCCATTGATAGCACACACGCAGGTCTGAGACCGAGCTGGGAATAACAAAAACAGTAACCCATTGATAGCACACACGCAGGTCTGAGACCAAGCTGGGAACAACAACAACAACAAAAATCATATTGAAAACTAGTCCACACTTTCAGTTTGCATGTTTAACTGATGTAACCAGATTTGATTTGCATCTCAAATAGTTTGTACACAATTGTGGTTTTGTTTTTATTTTTTTGTCATGCAGAATGAGTCATATCTAGCTGTACAGCACCAGGTCAACATACACAACTTTAAACTGTACTGGTGTGAAGTTTAATTTGTTACCATGGATTCATAAAACCTTTTTTTTGGCACACAGATATCTTTATTGTAATTTAAAAAAAAAAAAAAAAGCTCAGCACCTCTTGAAAATTCTACTTCTGTAAATGAGCAGAACTTACTGCAGTGACCAAGAGTTTCCTTTGGTGTACCTACTGGTCTTTTGTCTCACACAAAAAATATCAAGGAAAACATCACAAAAAAGTTAGACTGCTCTATTAACAAAAATCTTTGCATGAAAATACTGCTACGTACCAGTGTTTAGTGATGCTATCCGAGACCATTTATTGGTAACTGGATCATATACTTCACAAGATGCAATGCTCCTTTGGCCTTCGCAACCACCAACACAGTACAATTTGCCATTCAAAGTGACCACACCTAATTGATTTTTAACAGAAACAGTCATAATTAATGCATGGCTGCTAATATATCTTGTATTAAAGCATGAAAAAGGGTTGTTTAATTTTTTAAAAAAAATGGTTCTTGTAGATAAAAACAAGTCTCGGCATGGAAACAGACTGACACTGCCGGTGTACTGTGTCAGGTTTTCTAAATGCTACGCAGTTAGTGTTACATATTTTCTAGTGTCATAAAATAATGTTAAAATACATCATAGGAGAAAGATAGCATACAAGCATTATGATTAAACAAAAACAAAGCAACAGCTAATTTTCATCAAAACAATAAAAAGACAATAAAGAGGGCAATACAGAAAGGCAAACAGACAGAGGAAGAGAAACAGAGAAAGATAGGAAAGCAGGGAGGTAGACACAAAAAGAAAGAAAGGCAGCAACAGAGAGGCCAAATGCCAGCGCTAATAAATAAAACAGATCGAAAGAAGAAGAGAAAAAAAATATCACAAAACCAAGTGCCTGATGTTGAAACCCCACATCCTCTCCCAACCATAACAGTTTCCTGGACACAGCTACTCAAAAGAGAGGAATTAAAAGAGAGAAGTCAAGGCGACAAAGACTATAGCACAGAGGGAGACATGATGGAGAGGGGGCAGGAGAGACAGCCAGAGAACAGAGTAAGGATAGAGAGGGAAAAAGGGAGACAGAACGGATAAGAGAGGTAGAAGAGTACAAGATCAAAGAAGAGAATAGGTGGTGAGAGAAGCTTTGGAAAGGGAGGGGGGGGGGGGGGGGGGCGCAACCAAACAGCTTGAAGAATAAGCTGTGCCAACGATAGAGCCACATGTGTGACTGTCATGGTGGCTGCAGGCAGGTCAGTTACTCAAACAGCTTGTTCTATCCCCACCGGTAAATGGTTACAGGAGAGAGGGGGAGACGAAGACAGCAAAAATGTGTCTGCGAATTATCATGCAAAACTGTAAACACAGGCAGTGCTTGCTGAAGCAACCTTATCCTACCCCCAACCCGTACAGGCAATCCTTGATGTACCCGACAGAAGGAATATTGTGCACAACCATCAAACGATCAGTCAGATTGGAGCTCATTAAAAGTCCCGTCTCCTCTAGACCTGGTACTTGGGGAGAGACACTGACAAGGACGGAAGGGAGAAAAACCCTGAGTGGGGGAGGAGATGCAGGCAGATAAAAAAAGGAAATGGAAATAAATATAGAGAGAGGGAAGCATAAAACAGACAACCGACAAAGAAAGAAAGAGGGGGGGGAGAGAGAGAGAGAGAGAGAGAGAGAGAGAGAGAGAGAGAGAGAGAGAGAGAGAGAGAAGGGACAGACAGAGGAGAAATAAAAAAAAGTGGAGAGTAACACAGAAATGGCAGAAAAGAGGGACAAACATAGAGGCAGCAAAGCAAACAGACAGAAGGAGAAAAACAGAGGAAAAATTTTAAGCATTAGAACGGAAGAGAGTAGACCGAGAGGGGTGGAGAGGAAGAGAAGCAAACAGAGACACAAGACAGACAGGCAGTGAATGAGATCAAGAGACAGGGGGCAGGTAGGGAGACAGACAGAGAGTACACTGAACACAGAGTACACTAAACTTATGAGTTCAAAATCCCAAAGCAAGGGGTGCTAACAAACATGACTCATCAAAATAAAATCAGAATAATATCAAAAGAAAATTCCAAGAAAACCACCTGTCACATGATAAAACCACACCGTGTTCCCCAACCATAACACAACTGTGTATAGGAAACAACTACTACTACTAATAATAATAATATAGTAAAAACACTAACAGTAAAAGTTATTATGCCCCATCAAACTTAGTACAAAAGGCAAAGAAGTGGGGAGATAAAGAAACCATTGCAAAGATATGCTGCACCCAAAAATAGAATTGGGAAATCCAACATCACTTTGCCTGGTCCCACTGTCACCCATCAGGCCGGCCAAATGGAAATTTGTCAAAACCCAAGATGTGGCTGACAAAAACAGAAGATATAAACAAACAACAGCAACTAAAAAACCAAGGGGCATGATTGGCAGCCCTGCACTCTTAATGTAATCCTGCCAGAAGAAACAATCCCCAGCCAGGCAGCCGTGGTTCCATGTGTGGCTGTCGGCAGTATTCACCAGCTGCAACACAGCTCGCCCTTCCCTCACCCTTAACTGACCATTTCAGCAAAGCAAACAATGAAGAGACAGTTGTCAACTTACATCTTTTAAGTCTGTTATCTGCTGTCATTTAAAACTGCTGATTCTGTCTTCCCATGTGAACTACTTCTGAGAAGTCTTTCCTTAAAACCTTTGAGCATGCTCTCTTTCTGTCTGCTATCCAAGTTTATGCCTCATAGAGGAGAACTCTCCTAGAGCATGTTTTGTATACGATTTTAGTTTTAGTGCTGTAGAGGTTTGATGTCCAGACACTTCAAAGTCTATTGTAAGCAGCATTTGCCTTTGCACCTTTGCAATTATCTGCTTGATTTTATCCACAACATTTCCATCCAAGGAGACATTGCTTTCTAACAATGACACTTTCCATTTATGGTTAATTCTCCACCATCAAAACTAGTTGTTCTTATATACACACACACACACTTACACATATATTTATTAATTCATTATACATATTAAATCTTCTTTCTCGCATTAAAACTAAATGCAAAAGCCATGAATATTTAATACAAAAATAAAACATGACACTCTTATAGACATTAAATTCTAAAAAAATAACGTACCATGTGACGACCTTTCTTTCAACATATTTGGGGCATATGTCCACTTGTGAGATACTGGGTCAAATTTTTCGACACAGGATTGATCCTTCCAGCCATCAGAGCCACCGCACACATACAAGCAGCCATTCAGCACCGCAGCACCAAACCGTGCCCTGGCCCGATTCATTGGCGACATCACTTTCCATGCATTGTCCTCAACAACAAAAGCTTCAACAGTCTGAAGGCATTCACCTCGATCATAACCACCTGTTGAGAATAACCAATGATGCTAATATGTTACTCCAAAAAAAAAAAAGGACAGAAGTCGGCTGCAACTGCTGGAGAAAAGGAATGGCTGTCCATCTGATCAACAATGCAGGTTTTCATAGAGAAATGGCACCCAAATATTGCTATAGTTAATCAGCGTATTAATTTATTTGATTACGATTGGTTTTGATACTTAAAAAACAAAACTAATACTAGATAACTTTCTTTAAAAAAAGTGCCGCTGACTCATCTGAAAAATTTGTTGCTGCTAAAGAACAGATAGACATAATTCTAGGCTCGGAACAAATGAAACCATTTTGAATTAATTCAGTGAGGAAAAACTAGCTGGTGAGCATTATGAAAATCTCCCCATTTAGCCCCGCCCATTTACGCACTAGGTCACTTTTCATTCATAGTTTGTTAGAGAGGGAAGCTGGTCAACTTTGCTGACGGTTAAATGTCACAATTTCTATAAGCCCCAACCATTTTGTCTATTAGCCAGTATGTCAGCAATAAGTCATGATTTAAACAGATTATAAAAATGCCGGACTAAACAAAGTTATGTGTGTCGAAACAAAAATCTAGAAGATTCTCCATACATTTCACCAATGTATAAAAAGTGATTAAACACCTAACAGTTTAAGAATTGTGCAAATAGAAAGCTAAGGAGCAGTTATGGTGTAGTGGCTTGACACTCCCCTGCTCGTCCGAAGGTCATGGGTTCAAATCTGCATGGAACCAGAATTTTTTTTCCACTCACGACTTGGAGCCCAGCTTCAAATGGAAACTATGGGAAGTAAAGGTGGCCAGTGTGAAACTAACTCCATCGGGAGCCGATTGGTCTACAGAAATCTAAGTCTAGCCTCTTACACCACTGGCATGTGAAGGGACAGAACTTTACCTTTTTTTGTTTGGTAAACAAGCAGAAGCAGATTCAGACCCAAAGCTTTTAGATAAGCAGGCAAGAATCTAGCCACTGCGCTGAGTATCTGCCAAAACTAATTCTGCAGCACCTGGAGCAATATATCTCAGTTGATTTCTGTTATTCATGATATTTGGTCGCAGCATCAGCATTCATTTCTCTGTTCTATCTAATGATGATATTCTTTGATGGCTAATATTTACACTCCACATATGTAGTCTTCTGGCAGCCAGCTTTAAAAATGTTTTAACATAACCTTTCAAGACCGCTAGCATAACGATATCACTTACCACACACAACTAACTTTCCATCCAGCTCCACAGCTCCCATAGCACACCGTGCCGTGCCCATGCCTGTCAAAGGTGTGATAGAAGCCTTGCGTAGCAATGGGCTCAATCGGTTCCTGTCACTATTAGCAATGGGAGGAGAGTCTGGTGTTGCTCTGGCCCCGTTCGAATTGTCAATTGGGACTGGGCGTAAGTGGACTGTTATAGCCATCAGACGCCCATCCAAAACTGCAATGGCCAAATAAGCATTCTCTGTGGGAAGACAAATGATAACATTTACCACACTGTTAAGAGGCAGTAGCTTAAAATACAGTAAAACTTTTATTAACCATCACCGTCCTCACCATGGCTGTGACAGATAACCAGTATCTCTCAATACATGTGTACAGTAACATGATTTCACTGTGGGCTTAGGATGAACATTGAAATAAAATTCTGTATAAGTTAATACATGAGTACAGTAGTAAAAGAGAAGTAATGTACAGAAAAGTAATATTATAAACCTACATTACTTTAAAATAATATGTCCTGTGTCTTTGAGGGTCAATTTTTGTGCGCAGAGATGTTCCGTATGTTACGCAAAAGTAGGAATGTGTTTTAAATGCCTCCTTTTGCATTTTTAATCAGTCGATGAACCTTTACAACATTGTTTTTCCTTTTTAGTGGCTAGTTATGGGCCATTCACCGTCATCATTTTTAGTGGCTAGTTGTGGGTCATTCACCGTCAACATTTTTAGATGATAAAAATTCACATACTGACAGTTAAAACAAGTGATGGTTAAGTGAAGTTTACTGTATATATATTTTCTTACATCCACTTTTAGATGATTTGTACAAAACAAGCAATGATTTTCAGCTCATTTTGATTTGAAGCAGTAGGATGGATGCAAGCCTTTTTTTGGGGGGAGTGGGGTGTTGGGAAGAGAGGTAACAAGACTGTCCTTGGGGGAAATAGCCCTTCAATACTTCACCTTGACAGGCAGCAGTTGGTAATCTTGCCTGTTTTCCTAACAACAAGTTCACATCCCCACAGGCAGCAGTTGGTAATCTTGCCTGTTTTCCTAACAACAAGTTCACATCCCCACAGGCAGCAGTTGGTAATCTTGCCTGTTATCCTAACAACAAGTTCACATCCCCACAGGCAGCAGTTGGTAATCTTGCCTGTTATCCTGACAACAAGTTCACATCCCCACAGGCAGCAGTTGGTAATCTTGCCTGTTATCCTAACAACAAGCTCACATCCCCACAGGCAGACTGTTTAAAATGACCTGGACCCCAGGCTGACCTAGTCAGAAACAGAGGTCCGGAAAAGTCCAGGCAGCTGATTTGAGGTTGACCGCATCGGCTGCATACACACACACAAAACCATATTGTAAAATGAATGTGCAGGTAAAGCTCCAAGTTCTAGAACACTGAAATTGAATTTGTAAAACTAACCAAAATAAACAAACAAATAAAACACTGACCACTGGTTTTACGTGTGGCTACAATAGACCATTCCCTCTCTGCCTTGGACAAGGATTCCTCAGGGTTGAGACTGAATTTCTTAAAGGGTTGTGCACTACCTCCGTTAGTGACAGGCTGGCCACCATTCTTCTTAGATGGCGTCTGCAACAGAAAGCACACAATTTAACTAGCAAAACTATCAGTAATATTTCAGATATACCACACATGTTATCATAGTGATGTCATTATGATAACAACAATTAAACTAAGCTATGTGTTGTTTTACATTATTCTATACTGTTTACATGCACACACAAAAAACAACGCAGAAGGGGGAAAGAAAATGCAGCTGCTGACTTTTCATTTAAACTTTTCTAATTTAGATTTGTGGATTGCAGCAGTGGTATTTTTTGCTGGTTGTGATTTTTTTTTTTCAGATTGTTCTGTTCCCTTATCATGGACTGCTATTTTATGTGCAATTCTAATGCAGGATACAATGTTTTTCACAAGAGGGATAATGACCGACAGTTTTGATTGTGGCAGGCCAATCAGGAAGATAGATACAATCACGTCACCAGGGGACTGCAACTGTTTAGAAAGCAAACTCGATAAAAGTTGTCCACAGAAATGGAGTGTGTAGATCAGTTTTTTTTTTTTTGGTGGGGAGGAATCGACACATATGGTTAGCTCAATGGCCATGGCCAAGACCTCCGTAATTTAATGAGTGAAACTGTTTAAACTGCAAACAATTTCTTAGGGTTCAACAAATGATTGAGTACTTTTGCGTTAGGTCATCAGTAGTTTTTAGGTGTGCTGGCTTTCCCCATCAACTAATAAAAATGTGTTACCAAATTTAAAAAAAGTGTTTCTTTAAAAATATGCCCCCCCCCCCAACTGCATCAGTACTAGTAACGGTGTTTGCCAGCCACACATTTTCTGGGCAGAGTAATATAGACTGCTCACCCGAGCAATTGCAAGGTTATGTTTAGGCCAGGTTTTTTTTTTAAATTTAAGCCTTGCTGGCAATCATGCACCCCCTAAAATGTACAATGTAAACATTCTAGCCCCTGTCTATTTTACTTATACAGTGGTTCTGTTCACAACTGTATGACCCCCGGGTCAAGTGGGTCTCATGAAACTAAAACCAAATTTTCTGGAAGGCAGTGTGGTGGGCGAGATATCAACAAGATCAACCGCTGTATATCCACACACACACACAAAATACGCATGGAACACACCCTTGATAAAAAGCCACCAGAGACTTGAACAGAAATGACACCCCAAAAAATTTACAACTTAACAGAAATGCGTGTGAAAGCCCTCTTTTAAACAATATACAAACCGCCCCACACAAAATATGAAGACAAAATGTCATACTCTTCTGCGTGTCAATATCTTGTAGTCTTGAACAACATCATCATTTCCGCTGAGTACTTTATCCTCAATATCAGCGCAATCCCTCAGGGTGTTATCAGATATCAAGTACAAGACATTCACCTATTCAAAGAGAACAGCACCAGTGAAAAATCTATTTATTATCATCAGCATAAAACAACTTGCTGGCAACAGTATGGGACAGCAACAAGCATGCAGCATGAAACATATAAATGTTCAACTGAAAACTTAAAAAGACATTACAGTTGAAAGACAATTGAGCAGCGTGTTATCATGAAAATTACAGCAGCATATGACTAATATAACGTAGAAAGAAAAATACAGCAGTAAGGGGGAGGGGGAGAATAGACAGTACAGCAGTGAAAAAAGAAAGGGGTTTGCTTTTAAATTAAATAATTATCAAATCACCTTACGTCTATCTGCATGTTTATGTAAATATAAAACAGCCTTCTTAAAAGTAAATAACAGGGTGTGGCAGAGGTTTTCTATTTTCACAAGGTAAGTGTCACAATGTAATAATGGCTATCACTGAATCCTAATCTGGTAATCTTAGTTTCAGCTTCATAGCAAACGGGTCACCCCATCTTTGCTCCATTCCTGCGCCAACGAAAAACACACAGAATGTTTATCACAGTCCCTTGTGGAAGGATTGACAGACTGCTGTCTCAGCATATGCACCAGCATACACACGCATTAAAAGCACTATTTTTACCCAACATATAAACTGCACTAACTCAGATCTGAATCTGTGACTTTCAAACAAAAGCCATAGGAGCTCTCCATCTTATGCAAGACTTTCCATATCTGTTAAAACTGTGCATAGTAGAGAAAATTACCTAGCTTATAACTGGAAATAATGCATGAAACAGATGATTTAAATTATACAAAATCTGCATCAAGAATGGACAAGACCAATGTTCTATTCAAAATATTAAAAAGACAATTTTAAACTGTGAAGAAAGTTGTACCTTTTCAATAAGTCTGTCCAGTTTTGGTTTCAGGTCATTGAGGCTATTCTTGGCCCAGTCAAGGACCAGTGAAAACATTCTTCTCTGCATTGCTTCATCAGAGATGTTCTCGTCTAGGCCTGAAAACCATGACAGCAAAATGTCAAGCACAGATTCTTATTATGGGTGAATATGAAGCTCTGTATAAAGCTAGTACTTGTCAACAAGAGAAGAACACACAAATGCATTCAATAAAAAGCTTCTTTTCTGACCTCTTTTGTTACTGTAACAAAAAAGGGACATGTCACTGGCTGTCTTGTTTACTTCTCCCAGTCTGGAGCTACAGCTGCTACCACTCCGTCCCATCCACCATCGTTTTCCTGGGACGAGGTCATGATTGAATCTCACTGTAATAAAACCTGCTGTCAACTGACTTGTTCCATGGCTGTGCTATCTGCACAACTGTTGTCTCAGGGAGGTCCTTGGATTACAAATGGTAAGAAATCAGTTGTTGAAAACAATTACACAAATATTACACATGAAAACTTACCCACTAACTCCACTTGAAGATCCTGCAGGCCATAGAATGTCTTGCTGTTCATAATTTCACTAATATGTGACCGAATGTACTCATCAACCGCTTGCTTGAAAGTTTTATCTTTTGTGATGCGACGGATGCCTGCAAATTTAAGTCAAACAAATACTGTAAAGCCTATGTTTACTGAGGCTGGTAAAAGTTTGTAATACTTTGTTTTTGTATAAAAACCAGTCTATGTATTTTACAGACATTTCAGTGCAGTAAATACATGTGAAAAAAATGAGGTCTACCAGGCTCAGTGATTTCATAAGCTTCCATGATCATGTCCTAACTGAAATAACAGATGTCATTCTAGATAGTGCCATATTGTGCATGACTACTGGTCACTTAGCATAGACCTGCCCACTCAAATGATCAGTGTAAGCCTTCCTGTCTCCCTTGGCCTTGCTACCTTATGTAATGGTAAACATGTGTTCCTCAATAGAAAAACAGCTAAAAATCTGTACAGAAATCTGCAATAAGAAAATGCATCACATATAAACATCTCTATTTCACCTGTGATAAGTTAGTTATGTATCCCCTACAGGACAATGCAAACAAATCACAGCATTTCTGACAATCAAATTCTAACGTAACAGCTGTCTATCTAGAACAAGTGTTATACTCAAATAAAGGAACATAAAATATACTGATACACTTTGTAAAAGCAGATTTCTATCATAGGAACACGCTATTCATACTTTACAAATTAAATTAAACACTAAGTAACCAGGCAGGTATCTTAAAAACTTCACGGCAATGTACATAAACTGAGTAAAAGAAGATAAATTAGTAGCCAAGGAACAGCTGGGATATAAAAACTTGAAGTCACCAATTGTTGAAAATACCTAGAAATAAATAAATATAAGGAAGGAACATTGTGCTTCACTGTTTACATACCTGTAGAACTGAAAGAGACAATTTTTAATATATATATAAGGATAAATTTTGTTTTACCCTTCTAGTTAATTTAAATTTGGTTACATCCAGCCACTGCTGGTAAGTTACATGCCTGGTTGCTTAGGAAAGATCTTGTTTGAAAATGTGCCCTACAGGGCTAGAAATGAGAGTCAAACAAGCCACATCATTGCACAGGATTTTCAGAAAAGTCAATTATATCATGGTCTCACCTTGCTCAAAATAAGTGAGGATGTCGTGGTCATCATACCAAGACATCGGTCCTTGCAGAATCCTTCCGATCACTCCGTGCATTATTTTCCCTTTTCACCTTATCCCTCCTTTCTATCTATCCTTCTATCTGACAGAGATCAGAAACAATGCTCAAAGAGCGTACCAAAGAGGAAGTAGGAGAATTACTGTCATCAGACATCTATAATCAAACATGGCCAGAGCAAAGGCACACAATGTGGCATTTTTACTAATCAGATTACATTTACCAAAATCTTTAAATTTCCCAGCCTCTCATAAATATGACTCTTTCCATTCTTAATGAGTGAATCATTTTGTAAACACCTGAAACTATAAAAATTCTCAAAATAAGTGAATATCTGCTAGACAAAAGTAGTCATTAGCGGGGAAGAGGGGAACCACATTAATTTTCCAAAAAAGTGACTGACAAGGTGATGTAAACAAAATGCCAGTTTTCAAGCTGAATAACCAATCTGGCATTAAAATATCTGATAGAATTGCCCGTGTTAAGGACATCAGATTGAGGTATGAAGTGGCCACACTAAGTCTGGTACAGATTTCTGTAATATCAAGCATGTCATTTCAACATTAGCATCATCAACGCATGACAGGTACTCCAATAAGTGCTGCAGTGGGAGGCAGATTCTAGCTCTGGCAGCTGTTCTCTGCGGAGGCAAGAGCTTAAAGAAGGGATCAAGGTGAATGATGATGATACCTAAACAGTTTGCGGGACTCAGATTTGTGGACAGGAAGTTAGCACAGGCCCGCACAGCAGAATCCATTTTGAGTACTATGGCTGTTGCATATACACCTGGCACACTTTCGAGGGGCACATGCAACCTGAAAAGAAAAATAAGGTCTTTCTAAATTCTCTCTCAATTTTGTCTGGGCACTGTGTGTGTGTGAGTGTGAGGAGAGAGAGAGAGAGAGAGAGAGAGAGAGAGAGAGAGAGAGAGAGAGAGAGAGAGAGAGAGAGAGAGAGAGAGAGAGAGAGAGAGAGAGAAGATTTTTTCAACATATTTTCAATTTCTGAAAGGTATAAAGGCAAAATATCCTATAAATACGTGTAACAAAGCAGCCAATTGAATTCAAAACACACTAAGCTCAGAGCACATACTATCATGATGTGCCACGTCAGGCAGGGCAGGTGCTCATGTCTCCACAGATCTTGGTCCTTGATGTTTTGAAACAATTCCACTGATGATATGCCCCCATGTTAACACTTTGGGTCGTGAAGCATTGTTTCTCTTGGTCTACCTCCGCCTCTCTTATCACTGATCTTTCCAGTCACCATGTTGCTCTCCAATGCCTTTTTTCTCGGCATATGACCATCAAATACTGAATGCATATTTCTTGTAGATGTACAGTTTTCTAGCTTTATCAGTCATTTCCAGGCAGATGTTAGCTGCTCTGGCTGTCCACTGTATTTGCAGCAGGCATCTCAGAAACTGTCTCTACAGACTCCATGTTCTTCATTTATTTCTGATTCTCATTCATATGGCAGCAAGTGTTCAACATAACCTTTCAGTACTCTTCTTGTGTGTAATGTGAGAGACTTATTGCATATATTTTTCATCGCAAAGCACATGATAACGAAATAATTTAAAAAAGGTAAAGTCAAGGACCCTTTTCCATGCCTTTAGGTGTATAGGGCATATAGGGCTAGACTTATATTTTTATAAACCAATCCGCACAAGATGGGTGATGTCGTCAGCATCTCGCCAGCCGCCTCTACTTCCCGGGCCTGCACCCGGTACCCACTCAAGGCTGGGTCGACCTGGGAGCTCAGGGTCATTTTTTAGAATAGCCCGGCTCCGCCAGGGAGCGAACCCACGACCTTCCCATCCGTAACGAGCGTTTACAGGACTCCCTGAAGACAATGCTTGCACAAAATTGTTTGGGATCAAAGGAATAACAACAGCACATTGCTGTCATCTTGTACTAACATATCTACATGACACACATCTGAGATACAACAGACAGACGTCAAGACAGCAAACCATAAAAACATCACCAGAGGAACTGACCTGCCAGTATACATGTAGTCCACCAGAAACTGGAAGCCAGTATAAGACATATCCTTGAGCTTGTAGGTGGGCTGTGACTCGGCTGTTTCTTCTAAACAAGACAGGAAGTCAAACATGTAGGGACTGCAGGCAGCCAAGACTGCACGGTGCACTGCCAGCTCATGATCCTCAACAACCAGGAGAATGTCACAGAACTGGCGCTGTTTGCGGAAACTGTTGATTCCCGTGAGAACCAGCGATGGATGTCCTTCTTCGGTGTATTCCAGAAATTCTTCATAATCACCCAAATCAATTGAGGCCCCATTTTCAGAAAAGCTGTTCTTCTTTATGAGGGAGTGTTTGTGTGCGACGAGCTGACTCATGTCACTGCTGTTGTGTGCGACGAGTTGGCTAATGTCACTGCTGTTGCTTGAGGTGTTCAGGTACATGCTGGCTGATTCGTCCTGGTGAGCTTGGCTCCCTTGCCTAATGTCCAACAGTTTCATCGGTTAAGGCTGGCTCCTGAAAACAACGAAAGCTTAATATTTGTAAATAATGTAATAATAAATTAATAAAGTGTGTTTATAAAAAGAGAATGTCTAACTTTAAAACGAGGTAACTAAACTACCTGCATCTTAAAGCTATAATATACAATCAGCCGGTATTTAAGAAGACCACAGATCAAGAGATTTAAAAAAAATACTCATAAACTAGATAAAAATTTAAACAGGACTGTTAATATTTACTAAACCATTCTTCTTCTTAAAGTCGATGCGCCCTGTGGCATTGGTAGTCATGTCTATCCATAACTTTCTGTCTCGTGTACTTTCAATCAACTCTGACGATCTTCCAGGACATAATGTCAATCTGTCCACCTGGTCTTTTTCTGCACCCCCCCCCCAACTTTTTTATGTGGGCAATCAGTTCTCTTCACGAGTCAGTTTCTTTTAACACGTCTTCATTACTCTTTATCTGTCCAGTGCATTTTCATCATTCCTCTATAGAGCCACATCTCGGAAGCTTTTGTATATCAAAATGGGGTTTATATACTTTTAGAAATTGTCTTTCTCATCTCAACTGACCAAGACATTGCACCAATTCATTTTGTAAAATGCCGCCTTTGTTTGAGCTATTGAACATGAAACTTCCTTAATACATCTTCCATCTGATGTTATCGGGATGCCCTAGTACTTAAACATATAAACTTTCTTGAGGTTTGTCTAATTTACTCTGATGTTGCATTTTGGAGGGCCAGTTTTGTTTTAATTACCATTACTTCTTTTTTTAGCTGTTCAAATTAATAACCTTGTTTTCACTTCCTGTGACATTGATATCCATAATTTCTTGCAGCTGTTTTTTTTAATTTTCAGTGATCAAAACTATATAAAATCATAAGCATATGACAGGTTGTTAACCATATGCCCACCAACCAATATTCTTGGCATACCATGTATGGATCTAATTATTACTTCACTGTACAAACTGATTAAATTGGGTGATAGTACACATCCCTGTTCAGCGCCTTGTTTAATGTTTTGAAAAATTCCAACCTGGTTGTCAATCCTAATGGCTGCTTCTCATAATTCTCATTATTATGTGAGTTACGTGACTCATTAAAGCAACTGGTTGATGTTCTCCACATTCCACTGCGCCAGGTGTTTTGGGTAAATGTATGAAAAGAGATTTCAAAAGGTCATCAGGTACATCTCCACTGTTATAAATATTTTTGAACAATTTTGTCAACATTTCTAAACCCAGTTTACCAGCAGCTTTCAATTCTTCAGCGGGGATATTATCTGGCTTGGAGATTTACATTTCTTCATGTGGTTTATAGCATCTACTACTTTTGCTTTCAGTATTGGCAGTCCTTTCAAGTTATAATACTCCCGACTGTCTAGTCTTCTGTTTTCATAGTATAGCTCTTTTATTTATATATATACTCTGTCTGCCTTTTAACTGTCCATTATTATTTCAGATTCTTGTGTTTTCAAACAACTACTTGCTGCATATTTTCTAAAACAAGTTCTTGTATTATTTTATAGATGTGTTGTGCGTTTTCTTTTTGTTCTTTAATTTTTTTGCACTTTTATTTAGCCATACTTCTTTCACTGCATTACATTTACGTACAATCTCTCTAAGTATTTTTATTTTCATCTTGGCTGCGTTTATTTTTTCTTCTAATTTTCAAAGGATGTAAAATGACTAAACAACTGCTGCTGCCAAACATAAGGTCTGCATGTAATTCTAATCACAGATGTTAAAAATGAATTAAACTAACAAATAAAGTCCTTTAAAAAAAAAAAAAAATTTGCAGGTGCTGTGAAGTTTTGTGCATCTGAATTTAAAAAAATATCTTGAAAGTATGTTCAACAACATGCAGCAGATTAGACGTATCGGTATTTGTTGTGGCGGAACACTGTGTGTCGGTTTTGACTGAACAAGTAAGCAAGACCCTTTGAATTTTGTACTGGAACTGTGCTGGCATCAGACAACGTGGAGTGATTCTGGAGAACCTTGTGTACAAATCAAATATAGTGACCCTGCAGGAGATTTGAATGGCGATGGAGTGCTACGGGTAGCTGGATAAACGTGTTTTTATAACAGGGACCATTTGGACTGGTCATGCTTACGCGACAGCATAAGGGCATCAGAGGTAGACATGTCTCGGAACAGTGACTACAGCTTTAAGCGATTAGGGTCTAAAATATGCGTTCCTATTAGTGAATATGTACGCATGTAATGGATGAGTGGATTCCTAGAAATGGCTTGTGTTTGAAGAGAGGAGTGCACTATTTTCTGTGGAGATTTCAATGCTAGGGACAAGTTATAGGGAAATGTTTCTCCCAACACTCAAAGACAGGCGCTCAATGATGAGGTTGAATCCTTCAACCCTGTATGCATTAACATGCAGCTGTGTTACCAGACTGGCGAGCTGACCATGGTAAAATGACAGTGTTATTGACCTGACATTGGTATCACATCTTTTTCTGTTTGTGTGTCGATGGAGTGTCTGTCCTAGGGCGGCATGATAGTGACCACTTTCCCTGTTGCACACAGGTGGAGAACAGCAGTTCAAGGAAACAAGCCCAAGGTGCAATCATTTAGGTACCACACTACAGGGCATGACGCAAGAGCTCCCAGTGCAATTACTGATTATTTGTTTTAATTGTTATATTATAGAATTTAAGTATTTAGAGAACCAAAAAGAGAGATAAAGCAATATTGTACCTTTACAAATAACAGGAAACTTATAAATTTGGTAACGGCATGATGGACTGTAAGCTTGCTAAATGCGCAAAAAAATACGTACATGCTAGTTTGGTTATGTTTGAATGCAGGTGAAAACTAGGAGAATCTTAAATTTGTTACAACAGATTTGTGAAATTGTTTTTTTTTTTTGTTCTCACTACAAACATTAGTGCACTATTCAGATAGTTAATTGAAAGATTATCCTCTTCGCACAACAGACAAGTCCATAAGCACTCGGATCCCCTCTTCAGTGAATCCCCCTCCATGTGGTGACTGATAACACCAGTTCTGTGTTGATTTATTCTTATTCTTTGGCTACCTGTAAAGTTTTCTTGTTAAGCGACATCTCTTTTACCCTAAATTTCTTGTATCTTTTGAGTGTTGTTGACTGAACGCCATCTCTTCAACCATCTTCTTGCCCTGCCTCCTTGAGAATGTCAGCCTGGTCTATTGCTATTCCTGTACCTACCGTGGCCCAGGCAGCAAGTTAATCTACTCGTTCATTCCCTCTTACCCCAGAGTGTCCCGGCAAATAATGAAACTTAATTCCTTTTCGACAAGATTTCCTCAGCGACTCCAACCATTTTTAGTCACCCTGTCTCTATCTTCTTAGGCATGCTCATGGAATCACTTGGAAAGCAGCCATGGAAAAATTGCTGTCTCTAGCCAAATCATTGCTTTTGTTATCGCCATCACCTCCAGTTAGACTACGAGGCAAAAGTCCTTTTATCTTCTTTTATACCAGAACTGTGAAAGCCTCTGTACGTGTCGAATGACAGATCTGTCAGTGTAGATATTTGCCCCTCCGTAAGCAGAATTTTCAAGATACTGAACCTAATACTAGCACTTTTTCTAATCAAAGCAGAGTAGCAAATAAGTTGCTACATCATAGAAAGACGGTATCTGAAGATACAGACAAAGTGCGCAGATGATACGGATAAAATAAAACATGTTATATAAAGTATACATTACTGACTGAATGTACTTCCTGTAGAGTAGACAAATGTACGTTATCCAAGATTATTTAGAAATTAACTGGCTGCGGTCATGCATAGACCACATCTTTACTCTTAGAATAATTGTTGAAGATTCTACAGAATTCCAGTCGAAATTATTGATCAACTTTGTCGACTTTCAAAAAGCCTTCGACAGTATCCATCGTCCAACACTCTGGAAATTGCTTAACATCTATGGTTTCCCCATCAAATATATCAACATCATAATATCTTTTTATAATGAAACACGATACTGTGTAAGAACTGATTCCGGCAATTCTGACTGGTTCCCGGTGGAAACAGGAGTGAAGCAAGGCTGTGTCCTATCGCCGATGCTTTTTGGTATAGCAATCGACTGGGTCATGCGCAAGTGCATAGATAACACAAATTTAGGCATTACATGGGTTGACAAAATTCTGGAAGACCTAGACTTCGCCGACGACATAGCACTCCTGAGTTCAGAACACACAGACGCCCAAGAAAAAAATCAATCGACTCCAGAATTTCTCGAACAAATTGGACTAAAAATTAACACCGCAAAAACAAAAATTCTAGACCTTACCAACAGTTCAGTTGATATCACGCTGAACAACAACAGCCTTGAAAAAGTCAACAGTTTCACTTATCTAGGGAGCAAGATGTCATCTACAGGAGATACCGCACCAGAAATACCATTTAGAATAGCACTGGCATCTAGTGCCTTCAATAAACTGTCCAACATCTGGAAATCAAAGACACTTAGCAAACACACAAAACTCAAGATCTTCAATTCTTGTGTGATTCCAGTACTAACCTATGGATGCGAGAGCTGGAAATCAACGAAAACTCTAGACACAAAATTAGACAGTTTTGAAAATAAATGTTTTAGAAGAATACTAAATTTAAAATGGTCAGATTTCTGAACCAATACACAAATAAGGCAAGAATCCAGGCAAGAGTATGTGTCTAATTTTATACGAAAACGCAGCTGGAACTATGTCGGTCACGCCCTTAGAATGGATAAATCAAGACTTCCTTACCAAGCCCTCATTTGGACACCACAGGGGAAAAGATCTCGTGGAAGACCAAGGGAAACCCTACGTAGAACTATCATCAGGGAAGGCTCGCTCATGGGCCACTCAAACATCCAAGACCTACAACAGATTGCAACGAACCGCCATGCATGGAGAGTCATGACCTCTGCCCTATGTGCCGCACTCGACACAAGAGGAAAGACTAACTAACTGGCTGCAATTTCTGTACATTTAGGAATATGTCGACAG